TATATGAATGTAATTTTTTTAACTGTCATAAACGGGATGTGACAAGTAATAATAATAACAACTGCACTGCTTTAAAACATTCACAGCAGGTGGGATATCCGGTCTTTAAGTGATGACATATGAACCCTGCTTCCGCGTCCAAACTACTCTAATGATGTGATGCGTTAAGTTCAAAGCTATTATCTAGTTTTGCTTCTCTCCGCGAATGTTTTTTTGTAGAAAGTCAGGGCTTAGAGGTGGTGCCATTTCATGCTACTGTGGTCTCATCTTGAGTGAAATATTTTATCTTTCCATGGTTTATTTGCACTTTTTATGAGTTCACTGTAAGTAAAACATGTCTAACCTATACTGAAGAAATAGTTTACAATGTTTTGTACTTTATTTTGCTGAAAAACATTTTTATTCAGAATGTTTTTTTAAATTGTAAACATTTAAACTATTGAGATTAACACTGAAGAAGCATTTAAAACCAATGTGAAGATTTTTACATCACTATTTTATTTTCTATTGTAAACAAGATTAATTTTACAAGCAGTACTTTTATGTGCTACCAAATATTGAAGTGTAATTATTTGAAAACTTGGTGTGTCCTATGTCACTGACAGGTCAGGTTTTTTTTTTCTCATTCATTTCACTGCTTCTGTACATAGCCAAACCTTCTGGTCCAAAGCATTTGAGCTCCTTTAAAGGTTTTGGTGAAGTAAATTAAGGTGAAGTTAAGTTTTTTTTTTTTAAGTAACTATAGTATTACATAAGCAGCTTCTACCATTGACATTACCCTTCATCAGCCACTAGATTTTTACTCCCAGATGGCATGGATGTAATTAGTGTGCCAAGTATGTAAGTGTAAGTAGTGAACATAAGTTAGCAATAAAGACACTGCAAGAGGTTTTTAGGGGACTTTTGCCTTTCATGATTTTTCCACTTTGAAATGGTTTACTTCCAGATTAGATTTCTTTTTTATACGTCAACAATTTTTGGATGCTGTTTTCCTTGTTGGGCTTTCCTTTCCCATCACCAGGCAAAACTTGCACCATTTGTGTTTTTTCTGTTGCCACGACAATGACTCAGATGGCTAGTAGGGAAGGGGGGCGTGAAGGGGTAAAGTGAATTCGTGGAATACTGTAGTGTTGCTGTGTGTCTGCATGGGTCTGTTTTGTGTAGTGTAGAAAGTGCTGCTAAGGTTCAAAATGTGTTACTTAAACATTGGATTAGTTGGTGATCCCATTTAAGGTTGGGAAATATGTGTGTTAGATTCTTTCAGTGGGCTAATCCAATGGGACTAGTAGCAAAAACCACCTGTTCTGCACTTCTTCCAATCCTTCATCCTGTATTTAGTTGTGACTCAAACCATTAACTTACACATGATATCCACTGAACGTGACACAGTGAAAACAAACACAAATAGAGACTGCATCATTGCTTTTGCAGGGGGGCAATTAAATGAACATAATATATACAAAAATCCAAAGAACTGGGGTTTATAATGAATCTTTTTTTTAAAAACACATAGATGTAAATAGTTGCTGTATGTGTGACAATGTTTTGTTTAGACTGGCCCCCTGGTTAATGAGGAGATGGTGTCCATACTGTACAAAGATTATCATCAGTATAGTAAGATTGCTCTCATTTTGTTTGACTACTGTTTTTCACTCTCCTGACTCCATGCTCTTCTCAGAATCACCGACTCCGGGACCACTGGATGAAAGCCTGAGTGACCTCACAGATGTGGCCCCGTCTCGCAAACGGCGCTTTCGTCACCTCAGGGCCCCAGAGGCTGCAGTAAAGCGACCAAACCCAGAGACATCTCAGAGAAAAAGGTATGAGTGTCTCTGCGCTGCCTCATTCACATCAAGATCACTGCTGGTTATGCTGCTGTACTTCGTTTTGTATTCAGAGTAGCTCCTTCAACTTAACATCGCTGCCTTTATAGTTTCAAACACATCATCTAGGTCTGTTAAAATGTGTTCAGATGTGACAGGGAGGGACAGCTCCACCTGAAATAACACATTCTATATCAATCAACTTGATTGTCATAATTCACACATCTCCCTCTATTGCTGAGTAACTAAAATCAGAACACAAAGAGCTTGATCTGTTTTTTAATTTCCCAGTCCTTTCTGCTGTGTCATATTTTCCTTTCCTTCACATCCATCATCCCTTCTCTTCAGGGGTGGATCCAGAAGGGTGGCATGGGGTGGTATGTGCCACCCTAAAATGATCTCTTTCCACACCAAGTGCACCCTAGTTTTGCATATGACAGTGTTGTTTATTAAAATAAGATAGCATTAACACTTTGAGTGTAGTTACAGTTAACAGTGAATATAAATTCTAAAACTGAATATATTGCATAGTGTCCACCCCCTGCACAATTAACAAGTGGTTCAGCCCATAGCGCAGACTGGCTTTTTGTTTTCAGTAGCATGTGATGCCTATGATTGTGCCAGAGCACATTTTGAACAACACCATGGGAATTTCAGATTTCACACAGGTGGTTGGATGTTACACTCTGGAAATGGAATGAAGGTGAGTGTTACTAACCCTCTGGGGTCCACGGACATGCCACACCTCCAGATCACATGACTGATATAAGCTGACATCAAGCTGCAGCCGTGCAGAGTCTCAGCCAGTGTTTAAAGTTCTGACTTCAAAGTATACACCGGTGTTTAAATTTTAATGACAGGCCACTAAATCCAGAGTTTTATGATTAGAAAGCATACATAAGCAATGCTTTTTTCCAAATACTATTGTCACGTTTTTTAAAAAGCATTTTCTAATGACAGCGCAAAAACAGTAAAGAAAAAAAAAAGCCACCTCTTTCCTATTGGTGGAAAAATGTACCATGTCGACCAATTAAAAAAAAAGTCAACACGTGGGATTTGGTTGTTTAGGAAGAGGGACACGTTTTGGGAGTGACGGCGGAGAGACAGAGCGAGCGAGTGAGTAAGACAGAGAGAGAGAGAGATATCAATAGCGATTAGATTTGGGAGATTTGTGACAGTGTGTGTGTAGTTAGTGTGTTGCGTTGTCTTGTGTAGTTAGTCTGTTGTGTAGTCGTTGTTTTGTTTTGTGTCAGTGAGGGCCCTAATGACTTATTGTGACACCTGATTGTTCTCTCAGTTCAGTTAGAGTAGTATTTTTAAATTGTTGTACAAAAGACAGCAGGTGTATTGGCTGCATTTTTAGATAAATATTTGGATATGTTTACAAAATGTGTGCATAAGGTTTCCAAAATGAACAATTTATATTTGCATTTCAAGTTATAAAAATAATTTACTAAACATGTCTGTGGTTTTTACAGTAAAAAAAAACTACTACTAGGATTTTATTGTCTTTTGTGTGATTTCAGATGAGTTGTGATAATACAGTATGTCAATGAAAAAATAACTGTAAATTTAGACACGTGAAGTTGTGCTGAAAAGAATGATACCAAGCAAGGCAAACAAATAAAATGAAGCAATTTAAAGGTGAAATACAAATGTAAAATCAAAAGGAGTCAAAAATAGGCAGTTATATTTTGGACCTCAGAGGGTTAACTCAACAAATCAAAAACTTTGTTCATGACAGTGCAAATTTCTGACGTTTTGTGGAACAATTTGATTTTTTTCTAACAAAAAACGGTGTGAAACTCAAGTTAGCTAGTTGAGCTACATATTTATTTATTTATTATACAGGCTATACAGTACATAAAATCAAAATTTGCACGTATTATGTAACTAAAATGTTTAATTATGTGGGCTACAGAAAATAATTAAGTTATAGACTATATTTATGGAAAAATGTGTATACTTACTGCATTTGAATCATTTTAACCATATGTAACCACATGCATATGTGTTTAGAAAAATAAGGCTTTGATTTTGCCACCCCATTTGTTTTCCTTCTCACCCTAAGAAAATTTCTCTAGATCTGCCCCTGATCTTACCCCTTGGTAGTTACTTTAATAAAAAATATCAAACATTCACTGTAGGGAATCATCTTTATGCTGTGTTATTAAGCCCAGTGTGTAGAGACAACTAAAGGAGGCCCCTACTGCCTTGCTTTTAATTTTTAAGGCACTTTTTTGCATGGAAGCCACATCCTTCTTTTATATACAGTCTATGCAATGTGCAGATTTGGATAAATGTTTGTAACACAAATTTTGGATTAGGATTCAGATATGTGTGTTCACTTTTAAAAGAACGTGCTTTATTTTTACATAAGTGGATAATATTTTTTTTTCATAATCAACCCTTTTAATATCTTGGATATCAGTGAATGCCGTTATTGTCTGGTTTGAAGACAGTTTGGAGTGGGGCTGCTAGGATGGGGGTGGGGGATTGTCAAAGGAGGTCTAGCATGTGAAGTGAGGAGCCAAAGAAACAATTGTGCAACTCTCTTCTATTCTCCTCGCTGTTGTTTCTATAGCCCCTCTTTTCAAGCTCAGTCAGACCATCACACTGCTCTGAAAGCCCCATTGCTGCACATCCAAAACCTTTCAATACCATTGCTCTTGTTCCCGTTTCGTCCATTTGCCAGCTTCTTTTGGAGGTGTCTGTTTAGAAAATATTCTTAAAAGCATGTCTCAATCTGACATTGTTTCTGTAGCAGTCCCTACCAACAGAGTAAATATACTGTGTCCAGGTTTCTCAGAGTGCCAGTGACTGTAAAACACATGCAGATAAGTGTTGCCATCCATTTAAAGCTGCTGTCAGGATTTGGTACTGCTGCCCATTACCAGCTCTGCCTTCTCTAACAAGAAGCAGCAGTGAGCTAATGTACAGTTGTAGCTGCTGGATGTTTGATCACTGCAGTGGCTGCTAAAACTGCCCCCCTCTGAGCTGGCACACACAGCAGACAAGAGGCCCTTCTCCTGGTGGTGGCTATTAACCACTGTTACCTCCAGAGAGAAGATGGAGACCAGAATGAGGAAAAGTTAACATAGTAAGAGAGCCACATAAACAGAAGCATGGCTGGCAATGTAAAAGAGTGCTCAGCATTTTGGGAAATTCCTTTTTGTGTCACTTAACCTCACTGTGACTCCAGCAGCACCAAGCAGGTGTATAAAAGCAGTCAAGTTTGTATTTAACAAAATATTTATACTTGAATGATATATAGATTAGAGATCAGTGGCTTAACAAAGAGCCCATTTATGTCAAATTGGTCAGGTACAAGGACTGAAAATGTGTGATAAAGCAGGCAATGCCAAAAGGAACAATTTTAAAGACCTACAGGAAGCTGGACAACTGTTGCTCAAGAGCACTTGAGCACAAAAATACAAGAAAGTCTGACTCCTTGGATACAAACTGTGAAGAAGTGAGTTTTTCACAGTACTGCAGGCTAGCAGCTGTTCTGCTCTTTGCAGTAAATATGTATTCCTACAATAAACTAACCAATTCCCATATTCTCTTCTTTACTTCACTAATACACATATTTCTAACCCAAAACTCTTTGTTTGATGAAAGAAAGAAGGATTTCTCAGTTCCTCTGAAAATAAAGAGAGGTTTTCAGTTTACTACCCCATCTCCCTCTCCTGATCTTTGAACATGTGGTTGGGATATAATTGTTTGTGTACACAGAGGACTGTTTTCCCATGAAAGGAAACTAAAAGAAAGTTACAGTGAAATCCTTCCTCCCTTTTACACATGGACTGGTTCTGTAAACGATCAAATATCGCTCCAAGCCATCACAGATAATCACTACAAGCCATGGCACTGTGAGGGTCTCACAAGTGTTTTCATTTTGATTTATACTGGGATCAACACAGATTTAATACATCCTTTGTCGTTTGAAAACAGTCTAATTCATATATATATATATATTTTCTCGATATTTTAGGTTTAAAAAATATGGGGTGGCTGTAGCTCAGGTGGCAGAGCAGAGCAGGTCAGCCACTAATCAGAAGGTCGGTGGTTCGAGAGCAGGTCAGCCACTAATCAGAAGGTCGGTGGTTCGATCCCAGGCTGC